AGTCATTGTGCATGTAAATAGCGCTTTTCTTTGTACATAAATATTCTTTAATTATTTCTTTTGCCAGGTCTTCAGTCATTTCTTTATAAGTTATTTTGATTTTGATTTTATGAAAATAATGCTGTACGTTCGTTTGGTCTTCATTTCCTTTTATTAATTCGATTTGTCTAGGGAAATAATTGAATGGTCGTTCCGTTATTGGTATGTAATTTTGGTTGTCTTCCTGTGCACTATGTACGGTTGCGCCTACACTTTCGGCTACTTCTCCTAACATATTTTCTTCTATTTTGGTTCGGGATAAAGCGTCCGCTACATAATTTTCTTTTCCGGGTAAATATTTAATTTCGTAATCAAATTCATTTAATTTTATTTTCCATCTCTGTAACTTCATGTTTGGTTCTTTGATATTATTCAGCCAAACAAGAGGTTTATGATCACTGAGTATTTCAAAACGTCTTCCGAATAAGTAAGATCTGAAATATTTCGTTGCCCAAACGATCGCTAACAATTCTTTTTCTATCGTGGCATAATTGATTTCATGTTCGTTTAAAGTTCTGCTTGCATAACATACGGGTTTATGGTTTTGTGATAACACTGCACCGATTGCTATATTACTTGCATCAGTTGTTAAAGAAAATGTTTTACTGAAATCAGGATAAATAAGTATTGGATCTGAAGTAATAAGTACTTTTAATTTTTCGAATGCTTCTATGTAATTTTTACACTTTATATCAATTACTGCTCCTTTTTTTAATTTAACTGTCATTGGTTTTACAATATTAGCGAAATTAGGAATGAATTTGCGATAGAAGCCGCATAGTCCTAAAAATGATTTTATTTGTTTTGGGGTCTTAGGTATTGGAAAGTTAGTTATAGCATTGGTTTTATTAGGATTAGGTTTGATACCACTTGTAGTTACGATATGACCTAAAAATTCTGTTTCCTTTTTCATGAATTCACATTTATCCAATTGTAATTTCAAATTGGCATTCCTTAATTTTCCAAAAACTTTCTTAAGAGACAAAATATGTTCTTCCAATGAAGTGGAGAAAATAATGATGTCATCCAGGTATACTAAACAATCTTTATAGATTAAATCTTCTAAGAGATTGTTCATACATCTTTGGAAAGTTGCAGGGGCGTTTTTAAGACCAAATGGCATACGGGTATATTCATAATGCCCATGTTTAGTTGAAAATGCAGTTTTTGCTATGGAATTTTCATCCATTTGAATTTGGTGGAAGCCTTTGGCTAAATCGAGTGTTGTAAAATATTGGCATTTTCCTAATTTGTCTAGAATTTCATCCATTCTAGGGATCGGAAATTTATCGTTTATTGTGATTTCATTTAAACTCCTATAATCTATTACTAATCTGAATTTTTCTTTCCTGAAGCATCGCTTTTCTTTGGGACTATCCAGATTGGTGAACAATAAGGAGATTTCGACTTTCGAATTATTCCTTGTTTAATCATCTCAGTAATTTGTGTATTAACTTCTTCGTCAAAAGCTTGCGCATATTTGTATGGCTTTTTATATATCGGGTCTTCGTGTTTTGTTTGTATTGAATGTTTTATTGTACTAGTAAAAGTCAAATTTTCACCTTCCTTGTACTGAATATCTTTGAATTCAAACAAAACCCTTTTTAAATCTTTCTTTTCCTCTTCATTTAAATGTTCGAGACGAAATTCGTTGCATTCTCTAAGTTCGTTGTTTATGGAAAAATTAAATGAGTCATCTTCTGATAGAGGTGGATTAAGGCAATCTTGTGCGGTCTCATCCTTTTCCTCTTTCTTTTCGATTGACTTTGGGCTAAGGCATTTTGGTGCGGTCTTGCCCTTTTTAATTTCTTGTTCGGATGATTTTGAGCTAAGGCATTTTAGTGCGGTCTTGCCCTCTTTATCATCTTCACCATATTCAATGAAAAGTTTTTTGTCTCCTAACGTAATTGATTCATCTTCATAATCTATCTTAGCTTTACTTTCTTTCAAAAAATCTCTGCCTATAAGTATGTCATAATTCTCTGAGAATTTGTGTAAGAAAAATTTTTGTTTTACTGGGCAAATTTTACTGGGATTTAATGTAATGCTTTTAAGTAAGTTAATTGGTCCATTTATTGTATAGACTTTCTGATTTTCGTTAGTTTCTGCAAAATTTCCTGAGTTTTCTCTCATGATGTTAATGGAAGATCCTGTATCGATCATTGCTTTGAGAGTTTTACCTTTGACTACTACTCTGATATAAGGATACTGTTTTCGTTTTCCGAGGCTATTTGCTGAAAATTTACGTCCATTCTACTTTGGGCGCTTTCACTTTCTCTCTGTCTCTTAACAGGTGCATTTGGAGAATTATTAGAAGTTGATGCCTGATAATTCATGGGGTTCTGAGCTCTACCTTGATTTAAATTCCTTCTGAGTTCATGATAGTTGCCTTGGTTTTGGTTTCTGGCAGGTGAATTCGGAATATTTGTTGGATTGCTTGATCCTGGATTATAATTCAAATAATTATTTGAGTTATGTCGGGGATAATGATTTGAATTATTTCTCGAGTAATTTTGATTCTGTCTTGAATTACCCAAATTCCTACGTTGATCATAATACCTGGTTTTATAATTATCGTATGGATCTGAATCCCAATGGCCTAGAGTCATGGCTGCCTCTTTTAAGTTAGTAATAGTTGTAATATCTCTTTTCGATAGTGAATTATACAATCTGTCCGGAAGTTTCTTTTCAATGCAATCCCTGATTGTTTTGTTCAATGAACTTGTATAAATTGTTTTATCTGTCTGATCCATTTCTAAATCTAACTTATTTAAAACTACGGATGACCTGATTTTAAGTTCGTTTATGAACTTACTGATGCTCCCTGGGTAAGGTGTTTGATGTACGTGGCGGATGACATCTTCGTATGGCCTATGGTCCTTGAATGCTTTAATCAGGGCCAGTTTCGTCTGCATCCATGTTGTGGTTTTTTCTTCTGCGATGACTGCTTGTGCTGAGTCAATAATGGTCCTCTCGATGGCCCCGTAGATGATATGGTTTTGCCTCACATCCTGTGTTGGGTATAACTGCAACAGATACTCGACCCGTGTAATGAATCGGCTGAGCTCTATTGGGTTGCCGTCGAAATAAGGCAGTTCCTTGATTTGTCCAATCAATTGATTGAGATGGATCTCGGATAACTGTGGTGTCGCCATTTTTATCGCTTTTGAAGTTTTTGTATTGCAATATTGTCGCACGAAAATTCGTGGAGTTATTGACCGAATTGGATTTTTAATTAATTGTCTTTATATACAGTCGCACTGCACATAAATTCTTTTGCGGATTTCTTTTAGTCACTTTCGCTGATCAGGATAAACTAGTCGTATAGTATTATCCTTCTTTGTTGATCAGTACCGATAACTTGGTGTAAGGACCTTTTTAGAAATCCTACCGACTGCGCCAATTAAATGTTTGCACCATAAGTTTTCAATAAAAAAAATTATCTTTATTTTTCTTATGTCCAACTGGTTACAAATATTCTTTATTTGAAGAACACCAACCTACTACTTGTAGATCTTAAACTGAACTTCACTCCTAACTCTGACTTCTTTTACGATCAAACCTCGGTTTTGGAGCTTTCGAGCTTTACTTGAGTGTGTTTATTCTAATTGAGTGTGTTTTATTGTTTAGGCTGAGAACTTTCCCGATTGGACTTTGGATTCTTGCTTTTGAATTTGTTTTTGTCTTTGGTCCCGAAATTTGAGTTTTACGATTGGGTTTGGGGATCTGAATTATGGGAACGTGCTGAATGCATGTTTCCCTCGGTCTGTTTAGTCTGAGGATTTTTGTTTATAAGTACTTTTCCATCCTCAATTATGTTTAGGTCTGATTTGGGCTAGGATCATGTTCGGTGCATTTGCCTATTTGAATCTAAGTCTCAAGGGTAAGTTCTGACAAATACTTAATGTGTATGTGTGAGTGTGTGGGTGTGTGGACATTTACATAGTTTATGTATAATGCTATGGATATGTCACTATATATATATATATAAAAGCAACAACTAGACGGTAGGGAGGAAAAAAAAATTAAATGTCAAGGAAATGTGCAAAATGACTTGGAAACTCTCAGCGCGCTTTTCTTTTTCCATTTTTTTTTTGTTGCCTGCTCGAGGCTGAATGGCTTAAAGAAGAAGAATATTTCCGGCTTGTTGTTGCAGTTTTTTTTTTCTTTCTATATTTTGTTGTTGTTGTTGTTGTTGGTGTGTGTCCCCAACATTTCTTTTCTCTTTCGAGGGTGATTGAGCTTTTGTGCCACGTCATCTTTCGTCACTGGCTTTAAATCGCATGCGAGACTGCGAGAATTTCTAAAGCTTTAAAGCTCATGCCCCATTATATGGTGATCCCCCCTCCATCCCCCACAAATTCCATTTATAGAACTCTACCCTATAGATACTCTAGCCCTCGAGAGGGCTTTTTGGCGCTCTGCGATCCGAGAGGCCCATTAGCTCAGCTGGTTAGAGCGTCGTGCTAATAACGCGAAGGTCGCGGGTTCGATCCCCTCATGGGCCAGCAAGTACTTTTTTTTCTTTTTATTTTAATATTTTTTATTTTAGATATTTTAGAATTTTATATAAAATATTATTTTATCAGATTATGATGGGGACTAGTAGTAAGATATTTAAAAATCGAAGAAACAATCTTTTCACCCTATTTTCCTTATAAGTAAGGAAAGCGAAGCTTATGGCTATGAAATGATATACATCGGAGCGCATATAACTGAACGATCGGCTATGCCGCAGCATAGGAAAGGATATCATTCTTCAGCTTCTAGCAAAGTTTGGCTACTTCCCATAACTAAACCAGAGTCGGCTGTTTATATTTTAAATGGCTCCGTTGGGGCTCTTCCTGCAATGTCAGAAATTCAAAATTTTAGTTCCCAACCTTTTTCAAACTTTTTCAAGTAAAAACAATTATTTTCGATTATTTTTTACATATTTTATTTGTTTATTTTATTCAAAATTCAAAAAATATAAGAGTAGAGTTCATCCAATAATCGTCTTCAAAATATTATAAATAATATATCTACATTTTAGTGCATATTAAGATTACATATAATTTCCAAAATTGTTTCATATTCCAAGTCCGTTTTTAAAAGGCTTTTTGTTTTCTTCAATCTGTTCTTCGGATGGACATGTTTATTCTGAACACTTCGGGTCTAAAAGATTGAGCAATGAAAAAATAGAATTTGAAAATTATTTCATTTTAGTTATAGAAATTTCCAGTTGGAGATGAAACGAAAGGAAAAACCAAATTAGAATACACACCTCATACTAGGATCGAACCACCAGCCATAGCCCTCTTCCTTCGCAAAATTACGATCAGGAACTCCATCCTCATCTCGATCGAGTGTGGAAAATTTAGAGTCCTGCTTAGGAATCATCCATAATTCGCTACCAGTACAATTGCCAATACTTTTCACCTTGTAACCTTCGCTTCGATCACCCACAACAAAGTGGTCGCATTTCCTTAGCCTCCTCCCTCTGACGGATAAAAGCACTTCATGAGGCTTTCCACTGGTCAGTTGGTGCAGTCGGTTGAGTCCAATAAAGAACTCATTGTGCCTCGCAGTTCCTACATCCCCGAATCCACGTTCATAATCATCAAACGTCCGATTAAATGTTTGTGAATTTAATTTTCTATAAACATTTAACCATCCAGATCCAATATAAAATAATGACACACAAACCGATTTAAACGTGTCTGAGCCTGGAAGTTGGATTTCGCGGAGGACTACGTCTCCATTTTGCATTCGTGGACAAGGATCTGGAAAATCTAAAAATTTGTTGTTTTATTATGCAATTATTGGGTTCTGCCGACTTACCTATGGCTTGTGTTTTCGACATCGTCTGATTATTAATATTAGGCAGTGGAGTTGTTGGAACCACTTCTTCCGATCCCAGGGAGGCAGAAATTAGGAAACAGGCAGAAAGGAGGGCCACGAGGAGAATCATCTTATACTTTTGCTATCGAACTGAAATTTCTACTGAAAGAGTCTCTGGAAATATTTCAACTGATGCTGCGAGTCTTGGAGCTCCGGCTTTATAAAGCCATCCGCGCCCATGAGCTTGAGCTTGAGACTGAGCTTCAGAGTTTCTGATAAGAAATCGGGACATACCCATACGTATAGAAAAGCCAAAATATTCCACAACAGAATGCGTACGGAAGGGCTGTCACAGGTTATTGGAGATTAGAATGAGGTGATTACAACAAGACCTTGCTTATGTTCTTAGCTTCTTCTTTTTGGTATATATGGAGGCTATGTATACATACATTTGTATATATGTATATGCAATATATTTTTTTTTATTTTTTATATTATTTATTATATATGTACATATTTCCAAAATGAAAAGTAATTTTCAAAGAAATTGCAATGACTTCTTAGTCGCCTTATATCTAACAAATGTTTTTCGTACTAAAGGTATTCTTCTACTCTAAGAATTAAAAAAAATTGCCAATATTTTTCATAATTATTTATTTTAGATTTTCAAGAATATCTCCCTATTATAGATAGATGGAGCTATAGGATTTGTCATGGAAACTCCTATAATGCCCATGCAGTTCAAGTATGTTTCAAATTTGTGCCACGCCTCCTTCTGGCCTTATAAACGCAAATTTCAGTAGCGCCGGAAAGGAAGATCTCGAAGACTATAAGAAATAGAACTGTCCCCCTACTCCCGCCTCCAAAACATTTTATTGTAGGACCAATTTGTTAATATTTTTATAAATTATTTTATGCCAAACTGTTTTAATGGCTAATCTACATCTAAAAGTCAAAATTCAGGCAAATCAGACCCTTTTTAGAAGAGCTAGCTGTCCTTTCTTGTTTTTTAAATTAATTTAAGGTAACCATAGAATGGTATTTATGACCTCTTTTGTCTTTCTTCTTAAATTTAATTAAAAAGAAACCTTATTTTCTGAGAATTGTAATGGATTCTCGGCTGAATGGTGGGCCTATTATATGTAGCCCCACGAATTGCTACACAATTGAGCTCAATTTCATTCACAATAAAATCGCTTCCATCAGCCAGGCAGCTTCGTCAGCCTCATCAGCCTCATCTCCATCATAATCAGGAATCGTCAGGATGATTGGCCAGAATGAGAGGCCTCTGCAGAGGCGGCTTCTTTTTTTTTTTTTTGGGAAATATTTCATTCAATTCGAGACGAGTTGATTCCATGCCATTTCATTTCATTCAATTCTGGCCAAGTCCAGACTAGTCAGACCAGTCCCCTTGCCCCGTTTCGGGCCTTTTGTGGATGTCCTGCAATTGGTAAAATACCCTTCGATTCATGGCCAACGATTTGCAGGCGCCACTCGCCGACGCTCGAAAACAACATGAGCATATTTTGCTTTTGGACAGGTCACTGGGCTCCTTCTCTAAGCCTTGTAAATGTTTTCATTTTCTTTTCTTTTTTTTTCTGGCAAACATTCAAAATGAAAAGTCGCAAAAAAAAAAAAAAAAAAGAAAGCAAACTCAATGGAAAGCCACGATAATGTGCATCAAATGAGCTGTGCGCACATTTAGCAGGCGTCGCCTTGGCTATTGAACTTTATTAGCCTTGTACTCTAGGCACCCTCTAGGCCAGTCCCCCACACCCAACCCTTGTGTCTGGCTGGTTTTGGTCTACTGGTCTGGGCCACTACAAAAAAAAAAAAAAACCAGAAAATAGAAAACCGTAAACGTTTGGGAACCTTAAGGGGTCAGAGACTGGAGCAGGGGGCAGTTTATCAAAAAGCTTAACTGAAACACGCTCGGACATTTGTCCTTTGGCTAGGAAATCCCATAGGGATTTTCTTAAAAGTGACCGGGATATGCTCTAAAAAATGTGAAGAGATTTTTTATTTCGAGTGGCAAGTACCATAATTGTTTAAGGAGGTTAGTGGGGGGTTAAGAGAAAGTAAGGGATTTAAGACCTCATATAATAATAATAAGGTAAATAAATAAGGTAAGAATAATACTATTTAAATTGGATTTTTATATACTTTTTGTTACTTTGGTAAACAGATATTAAAAAAAAACTTTAAAAATCTTCGAGACTTACAATTTGTTAAGAATATATTCCCAAAACATCCAAAAATCGTATCTATCTTTTCTATTATCTCTAAATTATTTCTTAAGATCTTAAATAAATATAAGCTCATAAGTACTTAGTTCAAGTTTAATATTTTCAAAGAAAATGTATTAAAAAACCTTAAATCTTGCTCTTTAACCTTAAAACCTTAAACTTAAGCCTCAAACACCAAAACCTTATATCATAAACCCCTAAACCGTAAGCCTTAATCCTTCAAAACCCAAGATCTAAACCTTGAACCTTTAATCTTATATCTTAACCCTTAAAAACTGAAGACCTCAAGTCTTAAAAAACTTCGTACAAAAATTTGTAAAACCTAATCTGAACCTGAATTCCTAAACCAAACTATCCCAAGAGTTTCTTAAGAAGCTTCAAAAAAATGCCAACTGCCTTATGATATAAGCCGTATAAGCCGTATAACTCTGCATAAATCAATTGACCAATTGCTAATGCCCTTTCTAGAGGTCTCTACTAGAAGACTAAAAGACAACAACAAAAAATAAAACAGACAAGAAAAAAAGAAGACAAAAAGGCAAAAAAAACATAAAAAAAAGGGCGAAACAATATATGGCTAACAAACACACACAGACTAACACACATATATGGCCACTAACAAATCATGGCTGGTCGTGCATGTTTCATGTCCACTTAGCCAAGAAGACGACATAACGACAAAGTCAAACGCCCACGCTAGGACCTTACTACCTACATACTATCCCAGACACCCAACCATCCATCCAACCACCCAGCGTCCATAACTCCAGATCTAGTTACAGAGTGGGTGGATGGCTTTGGTTTTTTGCCGTTTAGTCTGGTAGTTGTAGTGCCGCTAGTGGTGGTGCTGCTGCTGCCACTGGCACTGAATTACGCTTAAATTATGGTAATTTATTTTACCCCAAAGAGCGATCTAACAGGGCCATGACGACAACGACAACAACTGAAACATAGCCCCTGGCCCCTATTGGGGGGCTGATTTCTCATGTCCTAGGTCCCATGTCCGAATGTCCGACCATCCTCCTGCCCGATGTCCTGGCCCACTGTTTTGTTATCTCTGGCCTGTGAGGAATAGTTACTTTTTACTTTATTATTATTTCTATTTTTTTTTTTTTAGCTTATAGGGCTTAACTTTTAGTTTACTTAATATGGTGAGGGCAGGGCGGGGCAGGAACATAAAAAAAAACAAGTCAATTATTCTTAAAAAACATATAGTTTCTTGCTAGAATGGGAAAATGTTAGCTTGTTATTGGTTTCAGATGGTTTTTGTTGGAAAATAGTCAAAAGGTATTTAAGTTTTATGGTAGTTGGTATTTATAATCAGTTTGAAGTTGAGATATTTTTAATATTTGATGTTTATTTGTATTAATAAAATGTTTAATATATTTATAAAGGCTTATCTGCTTAAAACCAAACTAAATTAATGACTAAACTATAACAATATTATTTGATTATTAAAAAATATGTATAGGATTTTATTTTCATCAGATCTTTCGATAAAGTGAGAGTGATCAAGGCAGATCAGATAACCAGGCCGAAGTATTTGTTTGTTGTATTTGAAAGTTTATATTTTTAACAGAACTAATTTTATTCATAGAAGAAGGTCTTTCAAATACTTTCTAACTAGACATTTAATTTAAAGAAAAATATGCCACAAACAGTTACAATAATACTAAATACTACATCCATATAAAGTACTATGTATTATAGTCCTACAATACTAAAATACCAAGAAGTATTAGTTACATCCAGAAAGCCACTAAATACATATACTTCAAACTAGGCATTTCAAGTAATTTTGTAATAGAGGTTCCTTTAAAAATTAAAACTCTTAAATATGAATACTTGATATATTTTTTTATATTTTTCTTAATATTTTGAAGTCTTCTTCATAATTCCTTTTATGGGAAAGGATTTCCAGGGAAAGAAGTTCCTGCTTCTTTCCTTTCTAGAATCCCTATATCCTCCATAACTTCTATACCCATTTATTTCCCTAGTTTCTCAACTCAAATCCTAAACCTTTAAAATTTTGAATATAAAACCCCAGCGGTCATAAAAATATTTCCTAATTGAAAGACCCAGTTTTTATAATAAATATTTTATTAGAGCTTTGCTTCCCTGCTCTACTACTCTCGGATACTCAGAATTATGCTCAATTATGTTCAAATGGAATTTTTCCTTCTTATTAATTTATAATTCTCTTCGCCCATTCGTTATGTTATATTGCAAGTGTAAACAGAAGTGGTATGGCATAAAAAAATGCAAATAAAATAAGAGAAGAAAAATTATGAAAGAAAAGGAAGTGGCTGCAAGGATTTTTACTTTTTTTTTTGTAATTTTTTAAGGAGAAAGGCTATGAAGTGGCGGCTGGACTGAACGTCGCCGCCGCCTGCCATTGACGCCTCGTCAGCTTCTTGATTTATGCGACCGACCCGACCCCACTTCTGACCCGTAACCGTATTTCCCCCCTCTTTCTCTCTCTCTCTGGTATTTTCCGCGATAAATGAGCGTAAAATATAAAAAAAAAAAATACCAACAGCTTTGCTGGCATGGCAGTAGCGGGCTAAGCTCGCTTCGGGGACTTTCCACACCCGGGGGCAATTAAAACACAAAAATGCATTCGTATGCGCTTACGAAACAAATGCGAAAAAGGGCTTTTCCAGGAGCGGCAGCACGACGGGGGGTGTATGGCAGTGGCAGTGGCAGTGGAAGGGGGCAGCAATCGCGTTGAATGACGGCAACGCTTGATGCCGGATCCGTTGGTCCGGAATATGGAGTCCGGAGTCCTGAGGTTCATGCACTAAAGAAAAAATAATTGCTCTTCAAAATGGTTTTCCATTAAAATATTTGAAGAATTAATTCGTAAATTTTTTTGTTATTCTTATGATTTTTATACCTATACCTATTTCAACACAATATTAGCACTCTTAAATCCAAACTACAAACACTCAATCTAAAAATTTCGTGATATATCTTAGTAATTTATTAAGAGTTTATTGCTATTTTATTTAGTTCGTTCAGAATACTTGAAATTTTCGAACAATGAAGGTTTTCCTGAAGAATAGACAAAATTACTAAAGAATATATCAAGTAATATCATTTTTTGGTGCAATTTACAAAGCCATAATTTAAATTTCTTTATAAAATAAAAATATTTTATTTTTTAAGATTTAATTTGTATTTTATTTGAATAACAAACTAAGAATACTAAGAATTTTCCAGCTATGAATGTTTTCAGAAAAACAAAATGTTTCAAATTAGCATTGATGAACATATTTTTAACGAATTCCAAGAAGCCATTATTTATTTTTGAAAGACTAGACTAGTCCTAATAGACTAGACTATTAGGATTCAAGCAACTTAGTATATTTTGAATATTTTTGGCGATTTTCTTTTCAATTAAAAAGCTCTCAAATTGCAGGTTTCTCTTACCTATAGTGACCTTTTTCATACATAATATACATACATAATACTAGATGGAACTACTAATACTAGTTTTTACTACACTAAACTTCTACTAAAGATTATACTAAACAGCAATACCTTGAGGCTAGATAAATCGTGATATGTTCTTTATACTAGATTGTACTTGCATACTAAATATTAAATACTGAGCTGGAACTAAGCTTACAAAGATATATATTTAAAAACCTAGGGCTTACCTTTTTATACCCTTGCAGAGGGTATTATAATTTTGTCCAAAAGTGTGCAACGCAGTGAAGGAGACATCTCCGACCCTATAAAGTATATATATTCTTGATCAGGATCACCTCCTGAGTTGATATGAGCATGTCCGTCTGTCCGTCTGTCCGTCTGTCCGTCTGTCTGTTTCTACGCAAACTAGTCTCTCAGTTTTAAAGCTATCGTCTTGAAACTTTGCACACACCCTTCTTTCCTTTGCACGCAGTATATAAGTCGGAACGGCCGGGATCGGCCGACTATATCCTATAGCTGCCATATAACTGATTGATCGGAAATGGTATAACTTTGGTGTTTTTAGAGTTAGAGAGTTCAAATTTGACATGAGAGCTATTTTTGGCAAAATAATACGACATGCCAAATTTCATAAGGATCGGCCGACTATATCCTATAGCTGCCATATAACTCAACGATCGGAATGACCCAACTTTCGTGTTTTTGAAGATAGAAAGCTGGAATTTAGTACAGACTCTATTTTTGGTTAGTTGATCCAACCTACCAAATTTCATTAGGATCGGCCGACTATATCCTATAGCTGCCATATAACTGAACGATCGGAAATGACCCAACTTTTGTGTTTTTGAAGATAGAAAGCTGGAACTTGGTACAGATTATATTTTGATCCATCCTACCAAATTTCATAAGGATCGGCCAACTATATCCGATGTTTGCGATATATATCCGGTTTTAGCTGCAAGGGTATATAAACTTCGGCTCCGCCCGAAGTTAGCTTTCCTTTCTTGTTTAAAACTAATTCAGTTGATATTTAGGTTTAAATATAAGGGAATAGGAGTATTTTATTCAAAATAAACCTACAACTAGTGACTAAATTCCAACTGAAATTTCCAAATATTCTTCAAACTTAGTCCTCAAAATAATAAGATCTTCATATAGACTTCCTAGAGCAGTAATATGAATTCCTTTCGGTGTAATCCGTTCAGTCCGGGATGGATTAACATGTTGGCCGCACGGGGCTCATTAAGTGCGTCGTTGACGTTGTCGTCGCTCCTGGTCCGTCCTTCCTGGTCGTCCTCTATCGTATCCTAGGTCCTGGGCTACCGTCCTTCAATCTTCAGCCCTTGCCCACCACCCCCAAAGGGGGAGTGGCCGTCGAGGGCTGGGACTCTCTGGTTATGTGTGCTTAGAGCGCACATCAAATAACAAATTAACGATGACGACGCCACAGGAGCCGCAATCGTTTCTATTTGTTTCCTTTTTTTTGTGAGTGTGTGGGTGGGTGAGGGGGAATATCCTTCCGGAAATGCCTGCAAATATTTGCACTGAATCGCTGAATGAATGATTTGAATGAATAACTCACGACGACTAATGATGAGTGTGGTTAGCGTATCGAGAATTGCTCGAGTTCTTGGAAAATTGAGGAAATTATTAGGAAATTGGGGCAATATTTAGAGCATTACTTAGCTATAACAGGCGGTTATTAAGGATAAGAGATAAAAGTTCTAAGGAGAAGGCTTGATGGCTTAAAGAAACTAGCATTAAGATATCCTGGAAGAAGTTGTTTAGTTTAAAAATATTTTATATATCAGTTCTTGTAGAGATCTTTCTATAGATCGACTTCTTATAAATAGATTAGTAGACTTCCTTGGAAAATCCTTTACAAAATGTATAATTCCCCGACTTGGACTACGATTTGTGATTCCTCTTGAGACAGTGATGCTCTCCCGACAAAAGCCGAGTGCCTTTGGGGAATTGATAATTAGATTTGCCTGTCCTGTGGTGACATCAATGGAGATATTGGATTTAAAGGACGATAAGTTTGAATGCCTTTGAATGGAAATCGACAGGTTGTGGTTGTGTGTGCGGGGGAAAGGACCCCTTCCATCCAACCATTGCTTTTGAATTTCATTCTAGAAACGTTCCCAATGGGAAGCTTGACAAAGTCATATAGCAAGAGACCCATTCCCCTAACACACTTGGCCTCATCCCAGTACTGGGAAGTACTGGTAGTCCTGGTAGTCTTGCCTTCGTCCTGCGTCCTTCTGCTTACGACTCATTTGCGTTTGGCGCCCGTAAAGCAATTATGACCCAATTGGTTTGGCTTTGGTTTGCAGTACCCTCCTCTGCTCAAGCCCCTCCGCCCTCTTTCTGCACTCCCCTTGGTCCTGGCCAACTCCTTGTCGTGTGTTTAACCTGATTTGTGTTCAGCCAGGACAGCACTGACAAAAACTATAGGGTCTTGAGAGGGAAATTGTTATTTTCTTATTTTTATTTTTTCTTAAATTATACAAATATTTCTTTTAAAAATTAAGTTGATAATTTTTTTTATATTTATTTTCTCTCAGTGTAATCATGCAAAAATATATGTTAGTTCCCCATTACGTCTTGGATGTGTATAACTGGCCATGGACGTGCTCAGATAACACCAGTTCCTGGCGGTGGGTTGGGGGTGGCTCAGGGAAGGGCCAAAGGATTCCGGATACGGATGCCAATGCGGGTGGATGTCCCCTCCCCGCCCCTCTCCAACCTCAATCCTCCTCATCCTCCTCATCCTTTCGCTTTGTGCCCGAGATGCAATGAAATTATCACTTTCAATTGCAATTGCCACACACTCGCCGATTCAGTAGGGGGAGGGCATGGCAGGTGGCAGGAGGCTGGTTGCTGGTGGCAGGGGCAGTTAGCATGGTAGGGGCAGAGTAGTGGCTGGTAAAGTGGGTTGCGGAGCTGCTACCAGATTGAAGAGGCTCTGGGCAGGTGTTGAGTGCACGTAGCTCGGCTCTGGTCGCTTTTATGTCTGCACGTGGGAGACACACCCACGCTCTAACTAGTGCCCTCTCCCTTGCCCAGTCATTGCCTCTCACTCACACTTTGAAGTCTCGGCAGCTCCTTAGAATCCTGGCTGGCTAAGGACCCTGTTCCTGCAATTCCAAGTGATTTTGTAATAGTTTTTTGCTAGGATTGGAATCCAATACTTAGCTGCCATATAGCTGATTGATCGGATATGCTATAACTTTTGTTTTTAAATTTAGAGAGTTCGGATTTTGTTTGAATGCTATTTTGGGCAAAATATTACGACCTAGCAACTTTCATGAAGATCCTATAAGGGAAAATCCCATTTTCAAGGGATCCCATCACAAAAATGGACAAAAAATCTAAAAAATGTTTTGTCTCAGGATTTTGGAGAATCGATCTAGAAATCGTTTAAGGTACTCCGCTTGAGAATCGGATGAGAATCGGGGAAGATATAGCCATCATTGTGGGTTTCCCTATAGGGAAAAACCCCATTTTCAAGGGATCTGACAAGTATATCCCATGTTGGCGATATCTATCTGTTTTAACTGAACACAAATATCTCGACGTTTTGGGAGAAAATCGGGGTTTTTGACTTTCAACTTGACTTTTTGACTTTATTGTTCAAAGGCAGAGCCTTGGGGCCGATCCTTAAATGTCTAAGATTCTAAATTTTGGTTTCCGACCTTCTCAAACTTTTTGCAGTGAAATTGGGAATTTTATTCAAGAAATATAAGAGGACAGTTTATTAAGATAAGATATTATTAAGATATTATAGTCTGTTTTAATGAATATTTACAAACTTTATAATTTTTAAAAATATTTCATTTTCCAAGTCCGTTTTAAAATGATGTTTTCTTTTTTCAATCTGTTCTTCGGATGTACATTTCAATGAAATCCCTTTGGCGGATTATATGCCCAGAACTGAAATAATAGAATTTAAAAATTATTTTAATTTAGTTATTTTAGAAATTTCCAGTTGGAGATGAAACGAAATAAAAACCAAAATAGAATACACACCTTATAGAAGAATCGAACCACCAGCCATAGCCCACTTCCTTCGCCAAATTACGATGAGGAACTCCATCCTCGTCTCGATCGAAGGTGGAAAATTTGGAGCCCTGCTTAGGGCTCATCGCGCCGTGTCCATCACAATTGCCAATACTTTTCACCTTGTACCCGTCGCTTCTATCGCCCACAATAAAGTGGTCGCATCTGCTTTGCCCCACACTGGTGTATAAAAGCACTTCATAACGCTTTCCACTGGTCAGATGGTGCAATCGATTGAGTCCAATAAAGAATTTATCTTCCCACCTAGTCCCGGCATATCCGAATCCACGTTCATAAACCTCATACGTGCGATTAAATATTTTTGAATAAAACGATTTTGTATAAACAGTCAACCATCCAGATCCAAAATCCGAATCTGAATAACAAACCACTTTAAACGGGTCTGAGCCTGGTAGTTGGATTTCGCGGAGGACTATTCTTTCTTTTTGGTTTCGTGGACAAGGATCTGGAAAATCTGAAAAATTCGTTATGTTATTTTGCAAATAACTGGGTTCTTTCGACTTACCTATGGTTTCTGTTTTGGGCGTCGTCTCAATCTTAATATTAGGCAGTGGAGTTGTTGGGATCTCCCCAGTTTCGACTTCCGATTTTGTTGGATTATTTTCATGAATTCCTCCAATCTTTACTATTTTTCCCAACTTGGCAATGTCTTCGCGGAACTGATTAGTCAACGTAGCAAGTTCACTTTTTTCTTTTAGTTCCCTAATTTGATCTTTTAGGAGGTCGATTTCCTTATTTTTCTGATTTATTAGATTGTCAACTTCCTGCTGCTTCGAATGCAACTGCGCATATTTAACTTTCTCATCACTAAGTTGACTCTGCACTTCCGAATTCTTTCTCACCAAGTCCGAAAAATCCAGTTGGCATTTGGATATCTGGGCATATTGTTTTAGATCCTCGCTCTGCAAATCCGAGTATCGTTTCTGAAGTTCCGAATAGTCTGTCTTGCACCTTAGGAGCTGGGCATCCTTTTCGTTGGTGTTCTCAAAATAGCGTAGACCCTCTTTCTGCAATTCTGTGTAATCAGCCCTGCACTTTAGGAGCTGCGCATCCCTCTCGTTACTTTTCTCGAAGTATCGTAGTAGAGGTTTCACGATCGGATAACAAACTGACGCGCATTCATCTTCCTGCTCTTCGGAGAGGTAGCATGACTGTGGAAGTAAAATTTAAATTAATTTTTAAAATAAAACACTCAAAATAGCTATTACTTACTTCTTCCAATCCCAAGGAGGCAGAAATTAGGAAAATGGCAGAAATTAGGGCCACGGGGAAGATCATCTTGTATTTTTTTTATTGAGCAGAACTTTCTACTGAAAGAGTCTCTGGGAATATTTCAACTGATGCCGCGAGTCTTGGAGCTCCGACTTTTTATAGCCATCCTTGGCCATGAGCTTGAGCTTTAGTTTCTGATAAGAAATTGGGAAATACCCACACATATAGAAAAGCCAAAATATTCCACAGACAGAATTCGTACGGAAGGGATGTCAAAGGTTATTGGAGATTAGAGAGGAGTGATTAGCAACAAGATCTGGTTTATGTTTCTAGCTTTTTCTTGTTGGTATATATTAAGGCTATATATGTACATATGTATGTACATACTATATATACAATAAATTATTTATATATTACCTCACAACGTGTATGTTGTATGGTCTAATTAAGTCTTGAAATTTTCGGGATCGGCCGACTGTATCCTATAGCTGCCATATAACTGATTGATCGGAAATACCATAAAATTGGTGTTTTTAGACTAAGAGAGTTGCGAGAATCGAATGAAAATAAAGGAAATATATAGCCCATATCCATATATCTGTATGGACCCTATAGGGGAAACCCCATTTTAATGTCCATCACGAAAAATGGACAAAAAATTTAAAAAATATTTTGTCTCAGAATTTTGATGCAGAATGGTGGAGATCGATCTATAAATCGTTTGAGATACTCCTCTTGAGAATCGGATGAGAATTGGGGAAGATATAGCCATCACTGTGGACCCTATAGTGGGACTATAGCCTATAGCTGCCATATTTAAAGATGAAGCTTAGGACTTTTTTTTAAGTTTTTGTATTTCGATAAGTTTTTTTTATAATAAAATATGTTCATAAAGTTCTCAAATTAAAATTTAAAAAATAATATTTATTGCCAACATCCTGACAAGAATGTGTATGACCTGCCTGGGCTCTTACCAAATTGGACTCGACTGACGACCGACAAGGACTGGCTCCTTGTGCTCCTTCCTGCTCCTTGTTGGCGTCTCTGTTTAATTTTTAGTCCGCCATTTGCCATTTGCATTGCATACTTTTGTGCGATGCATTGCGTTCATTTAATTGCAACGCTGTCGCCGAGGACCAAGGAAATTGGAGGGGGGGGCGGCTGAGAGGGGCAGAAGGATATAGGAGAGTCAGCTAGGATGATGCTGAAGCCGAAGCTGTCCTTTTGTGTGACAAACCAACTGTGGACTGCCTGCTGTTGACTGAAAGATATATGATGCCAAGCTCAAAAGGCGAAATTCGTTGCTCTTTTTTAAGGGACATGTCCTGCCTCCGGTACCGCTACCGCTACCACTCCTGCTTATCCTTTTTCGCATTCATATTTGTTTTGTCTTTGCGTTTTCTCTTTTTTTTTTTTGTGCAAATTAAATTCTTTGCTCTTTGCTCTTATTTTGTTTTTTATTTTATTTCTTTTTCTTCCATTTAACTAAGTTCTTAATCAGGCAGATACCCCTTAGCTCCCCGGAGCCCCTCTGCGACAACTGTCACTGACAGATAGTCTGAATACTTTTTGGGCGAAAAGGCCTGACTGGATGGCTGGATGGCAAGGATCTAGCCAAACACCCCACAGGGTGCTGACCCATTAAGAAATGTGTGCAAATGGAGCATGCATGCATAGAATTCTGAATGGGAATCAGCCAAGGAAAACACTTAACACAGAGTGCCCCTTCTGCCAAGTCCTGCCATGCCCTGCCCTGCCATGTCCTGGCCATGTCCTGGCCATGCCCTGCCCTGTCCTGCTCTGCCTTGCCCCATTTTGTTGATTTTAGAATTTAGCTTAAAAATAACCAAAATAGAAAAGGTAATGATGTTGTGGTTTCTGGTTATTTCAATGGTAATATAATACTTGGGGATAACTTTGGTAGTTCTGGGGGCACTAGTTGTGGGAAAGTGTGAGATTTTTATTAAAGGGGTTTCTGAATTTCAGTTATGAATAGATTAAGGATTGCATTTTTTAAACTAGAAAGTATTCTATTCATAATTAAGACGATAGAAAACTTAGAAAGAAAAGGAAGATACTTAGTTTCTAAAGAGTGTTACTTATACATGCCTTACATATATGTTAGGTAGTTAACTATATTAAGTATCTAAAATATTGTTTATATTTTCTTATAAAAATAAGCTTAAAATATCAATAAATTTCTTTCAATAATACCAAAAGCGTAACTTTTAAGAAGTAAATGAAATAACTTTTGAATAACATTTTTAATAAAAGATACTAGATTTAAAGTATTAGAGGAGTCATCACCCGCTTATAAAACCAACATGGATATATTATTGAAATATTTATGGAACTATTATACTTTTTTGGGAACTGTTATAAAAACTTTTAGGGAAATTAACATAGAAACCATAAAAGAAACTTTTAGAAAGAACCATAGATCTTTACCGGTTACCATACATTATAGAAACTATAGACCTATTTATTTACTTATTTTATTTACTTTATTTACTTTCTAAGCTAAAAACAAGTTAAAAATCATAACCGTTACAAACCCGATGCAAATGTCTTATTAAAAGTCTAAAAAAAGGTATTCAGGAGTACCGGATATTATATGTATATTATAGGAACTATAACCACATCTCCTTCTTTTCATCCCTACGCTCATTTCATCCCTACGCTCATTTAAAAGCTAAAGTGAGATCCTTTACACCTAAAGGATCTTTACACCTAAAGGATCCTAATTAAAATACCTCATCGATAGTCTTTAAAAATTGCAATAAAGGGAGTACCAGGCTCTCCTCATATATTCCACATATATCTTGTATTATAGGAACAGTAGCCCTCTATCCTTGTTTTCCTCTTAAGACTTGAGAAAAAGTTTAAGGCCATAATCTTTCCATTACTTAAATCTCTCTTTAAAAACCTACAAAATTTAATAGGGCAGTACCTGGTACATAAACTTTAGCCCTCTGTTCTTTTATTTCTTTCATCATCATCATCATATATTTTTCATCATCAAAAGTGCATTAATCCAAGCACATTGCCTACTTTTAGGCTTCAAATCAAACGATTTAAAATCTCTAGTGGTTTTCTAAACTAATTTTCCCAACCAATTGCAATTTGCTCATGATGCCCCAATTTAAATGAGTTGCTTTGCTTTGCGCGATGCGATGCGATGCGGTGCGGTGTGGTGAGCCAACTAATTTTTTTTTTTTTATGCTTTCGCCAAAAACTAATTTCAATTTCAATTGTTTAACTTTCTTCACTTTCTCCGCCACCTGCTGCCTGGCCTGGTGGCTGGCTGGCGTGCCCTCTCTCCTTTCTTTCTGCGGCAGCCTAGTTTCTGCTCCTGTTTCTGTGTTTTTGTTTTTTTCGCCTTGTTGTGCATATTGCATTGTAGCCTTTGGGTTTTTAATGAGCTGCAGGAATAATTTTCTTCATCATCATCGTCATCGTAGTCATCAGGAGCATTTCCTAGCTTTGTTTGTTGTTGGCCTGGCCTTGTGCCTATTTTAGATGTTTTTTTGCAAAAATAAAAAGAGGGCGGGGCATTAGGGACATCACAAAACTAAAAAACGAAAGCAAAAAAAAAAAAGGCAAAAAAAAGGGCTAGAAAGCGCGACCCTTGTCGCATTTTTTATACTTTGGCGGCTCATTAGCGGGTCACCGTCCGTCCCCTAAGGCCCCTAAATTTTTCTTGACTATTTCCCTTCTTTCTTCATTTCCTCCTCCAAAAAAAAAAAAATAAATGAAGAAAAATAGAAAATTATTTTCCCTTAGTCATCCTTTAGTTGGCAATGGGAAATTTTTGTATCTTGTCCGCAGTGCTGACAAAAGCAAAAGTGTTCAACAGGAAAGGAAAACTCTCACATCTCTCCATTTTGTGTAGAGGGATATAAACCCCTCTCTCTTACACTCTGCATATACCCCTCTCTCTCTCTCACTCTCTCTCGGTATATGTGTCTTGTCGCTGATAGCGCAAAAACTGTCAGATGATTATCGGAACTGGGGAACGCCTTTTGTCAACTTTATAAACGAGCTCATCTCGGCATGACGAAAGACTTGGACGCAGGCACGTCCATATCAGTTTACCCAACCAACCAACCAGTGGAGCTAACAGACAGAGAGGCATACAATCGCCTTGAGAGGCAGTGGTTTGGGATTCTACAGAATCATAAAGAAATCAATCTTGAGGAAATTGGAAAGAGTAATATCTGGAGTTTTAAATAAAAGAAAGAAAAGCTTAGGTCTGATTTTAGTGACAAATATTTCTTAAAAATAGTTAGGTTTCTTTAATAAACTAAGGTTTTTTTTTATATTTCAAGGCTTACGATTTAAAACCAGTTCATTTTATAATTTTCAAGTAGCTAGTTTTAGTTTTTACTAGTTCTTAGGTCTAGAATCTAAATAAAAGGTCTAAGCTGTGCTTAGATGTTTAAAGGTATTAGTATAGAACTTAGTATGGTATATAACTTACTATATAAAATTACTATAGCTCTATTAACCTTAGGGCTTAACCTTAACCTTACTACACTAGAAACCTTAGTATTTTTTATTTTTTACTTCAAGACCTCTATAATTCTTAACTATTTCTTACTAGTTATTTAAAGCTTTAAAGGATAGGACCTAGAAACAAGGTCTTAATGTTGCTTCGATTTTTACAAGTTAGCTTAGTATGACTGAATAAAGTTCTTTAAAGTTAAGTATATCTCAATAAATAAGTTTTGGCTTTCTATTGCCAGGCCTCTATAATTCTCTACTTGTTCTTAGAGTTCAAACTAGTTCAGGCTTTAAAAGAAAGTCCTTTAAAGCCTTTTTTAAGGATAAGGATCAGGATTATGATAATTTTAGGATCTTAAAGCCCAAACGTTGTCATTATTTTAGTTATAGTTTATAGCTCTACTCTTATTACCTTCTATTAACTATTTTGATAATTTTCGTGACACTGTAACCCTTGGCTTTAACCCTTAAGCTGGGTCATGCCTTCCGTACTCGCCTCTCCTCACTCGTCACTCGCCACTCGCCCTTTGCACACTTTGGCCGTTTCTGTTTGACTTGTTGGT